GAAATTAAAAAAAAAAAAAATGTCTCAATCAATTTAATCAATTAATCAATCAACAAATCCATCAATTTTGCATGAGGACTGCCAGGCAGTTGTCCACCTGGAGGCTGAGGTGGCGCGCGAACTTATTTAGCGGGAAATCGGCTCCGAACTCCTTCATCGCGTCCTTGCAGTCGGACCGCAGAGCCCCACTCAGGTGGGACCGTGCGGTCCCGATATCATTGGCCGCGAGGGCCTCGATGCTCACCGCCAAGTCATCGGCTATCCCATCGAAATCCTCCGCGCACGTGGCGAGTATCGACTCCTGCGTGGCGGGGGACAGGCCGACGACCGCGGGCCTCAGGAGGGGCACGAGGGCCCGCACTCGTCGGGCCAATCCCAGAGCCGACCGCATGGCGTTGACCGATGCATCGGACTGCGTGGATGCGCCGTTGACCATTCGGGTGCAGATGCGTCGGTAGTTGGCCGTGCGGCAGAATGGGTTCACGCCGGCGAATCGGGCCTCGGCCCGTGGAATTTGGGCCTGGCCCACGAGAAGGAGGAGAAGGAGGGTGGTTAGGTAGAAATAGTTGAACTTATTTGGAGCCATCTATACGTATTTTTTTGTTGATTTGGTGTGGCTCTTTGCAATGAGTTTTTGTATCTCTACTTTATTTTTATTTTGTGTTCCCCTCTTTGTGTGTGTGTGTGTAGTATTGTTTTGTTTTTGGAGTCACGAAGAGAGGGGAAGAATTGAATGCAAAATGTGGAAATAAGATTTTTTTTTTCTCTCTATCAAAATTTAGATGTTTGGTTTTGTGGGGTTTTATTTGGGTAGGGAATGTTTGATGGTGTGTTTTCCTACTTTCTCGCATGAGATTTTGTGGTTTTGCTATTGTCGTGGAGATGTTTCTTGATGAGAGTCGCTCAAATATATCATTTTCAGTAGATAAATTTACTAGTAATAAACTTGACGTTGACCGGAGTGGTGGACCAAATAGGCAAATATTGACCAAGATATGTTTGATGTGAAATTATCTGATTGACACGTCATTTGCTATTTTCATTTGTTAGTTGTTTCACATCGTTCATACATAGAAAATAGACTCACCTTATAAGTCTAATGGGCTACTCCTCCTTCCACCAATTGGTTTTATGATGGAACTCCACTTGGGCTTCATATGAGCTTTCCCCGCTTTGGTGCGCTTCATGTTAATGGGACCACACTTCTTCTCCCCCAATTTCTTTCATAAAACATTTTATAATCACAATTGAACGCAACTTCGTGTATAAAATGGTTATCTATTAACATCGAGCGAGGACGGAGACATTTAACGTCGGTTTTAAGCTGCCAGAAGTGTCCGTCGTCTATGGTGTTGCTACATGTTCTTAGTGATTGCCCGAACGCTACTCAAGTGTGGGCCTGCCTCGTTCCGCCGCGAGCACGTCGTCTTTTTTTGGGTTTAAATTTGAAGGAGTGGCTCGCTTCAAACTTATGGAATCCTTCCGATCCTACGGTGGAAGCCAACTGAGAGTGTTTGTTTCGCGTGACCTTGTGAAAATTACAGCAATGGAGTAATATTGCTATTTTTCAAAGTCGTGGAAAGGAAGCCGATGATAAAGTTCATGAGATCAAGAACTTCGTTAATGGAGTTCTCCGATTTGCGAAGAGCGACAAGAAACTTGGAGGCATTGGTGTTTCCCGAAGCCAGCGTCTTATCCGTTGGGTGGCTCCACCGACGGATTGGGTGAAAGTAAATTCGGACAAGGCTTATCATAAAACCTCGAGTATGGCTTCGACTGGAGGGTTGATTCGTGACACTCATGGGAAATGATTAGGAGGTTTCATGAGAAATATCGGGATGTGCTCTATTACGGAGCAGAGCTATGGGGATTATTCCACGGTCTTAGTATGGCATGGGATATGGGATATCCCCAGGTTGAGGCGAAAGTGGATAATGTGGACATCATGGATTTTGCGAATAATACATAAAATGTAAGGGGTGTTCATTCTGGTTTGGTTATTCGAAATTTTGTACAAAACGAGTTGCTAGTAAGCCCGACATGCAATAAAGGATCGAGTTAAGCTCAAACGAGCTATAGTTAAACTCGATTTTGTTTAGCTAATGAGTTGACTCAACTCATGAAGGCTCAGTAAACTAACAAATAATTATCTTTATGTACCTTCCTGAACTATTAGCTTCGTTCGATTTGTCAAGGCTCTAGTTCAGATCAGACTCAGTAATATTACTAAATGATGATGACCTCCGGCAGCAGCTCGGAAGCTGGAATAATAATAATCCCCCCGATATATAATTCTCGAATGCGTTGAGCCTACGTGGTTGATTCTGGTGCTTCGGAATCTTACTTGACGAATAATCATGCTTCGTAATTAGGTTTGGACAATTAATATAGATATATGAATAATTAATAATCTAGGTTCGGACATTCCATAAATATTATTTAGCTAACTTAGGTATTTTAATTTCACTTGTACTAATATAACCCTTTAATTCTTTGTAATACATAATGACGCACTAAGTGACTAATATATCCATAAATAGTGTTGTAATCGAACCGAACTAGCCGATCTTAAGCATTTCGAGCTTATGTTCGAACACTTCGTATTCATGCATTAAATTTTCAAGCAAAATTCTGTTCGAGCTCATCCGTTTCGATAAAATTGTTTTACTACATCGAATTTTGTTCGTTCCAACTCAAAAATTAAAAAATAATAATAATAGTAATAATAATAATAATAATAATAATAATAATTTTATATCTTAGATCTTTACTTTTTAATAAAAAGTATCATACATATAAATATAAAAATAAAATAAAAAATTATATTAAATTAATGTTCTCAAACATTATCATGTTCGCGAACGAGCTTATGTTCGTTCGACTGTCAGGCACATTTAATTTTCTGTTCGAACTTAACTAGATCAACAAAACGAACGAGCTCGTCGAAAGCAAACGAACTTCTGTTCGCGAACATTCGGTTCGTTAACAACTCAATCGACACATGTATAAATACGATGATATCACTACAAACCAAATATAACAAAACATAAAAAAAAAAAAAAATCAATATAAAAGTGAAACATAAGGCTTTTATTGAATTTGAACCACTTTAAATTGTATAAAATTGAGGAGAAGAATGGTTCTAAGCTGTTAAACTCTGACTTTGTCAACGAGGGACTCTCCCACTTATCAAATGATATCCAAAAACTCGAAGAAGAAGAAGAAGAAGAAGAAGCTTGAATTCTTATTTAAGTCTCATTTTCAGACTTCATTAGATTTGGACAGAATTTTGGAAACAAATTAGAGTTCAAAGCCTCGATTTCCTCTGTTTTTTCCTTCTATTAATAAACAACATAGAGTTTTCACTATTCATTCATATGCTCCCTACATTTGATCATAAAAGTTGGTAAATCAAAAGAGGTACGGATTTTTGTTCTGTTATGATGTGTGTGTATTTTTGTAGTAAAACTTAACTCGAACCCGACTTGAAACTAGGTATACTCGGGTCAAAAATAAGTTAAACGGGTTATTTTCGATCCAAGATTCATACTTCTTGAACGAAAATACATACATACATGATAAAAATGTCATGATTTTTATGATATATTATAGTTTTCTTAGCCCTTAGGTAGTCTTTCAAATTTTAATAATGGAATATTTAATGTAGCAAGAACCAGAAAATATGTATAAATAATACTATTGATAAAATGATCCAAAGTCTTTTGCCAGCTTGTCAAAAAAATCATATCCTTATTGGCAAAAACGTTGACTTTCAGGCTCCCATTTATTGATCAATTTATTGTGTGTGTGTGTGTGTGTATTTGTAACGTTGACTTCATATTTTGTGGGTGCAGTTAAGATGTGGGCATTTTACCTTTTGAAAATTATTTTTGAGTTGGCTTTGTCCCTTAAATCATAGTATTCATTAATTAATGATCAAGATCCATAATCTTTTTTCAATTGCTAAATTTGTCAGCATAGTTACAACTTATGATTCAGTTCAATCTACAGGAAACCTCAGATAGCAAATAGCTGAAAAAATGATCAAGAAATCGAGTTTCGGGCCGGGCGCGTCTGCTCTGATCATGATCCTGTCGATTCTACTGCTTCCCGGTCGGTTACGGGCTGACCCGCGAACCCATACCGTGCTTTTCGAGTGCACAAACCAGCTCGAGGAGAATACCACCATCTTCGTACCCAACTTCGTGGCCACTATGGAGAACATAAGCACCCAAATCCGAACATCGGGCTTTGGCAGAGCCTCAACGGGCTTCGGACCCAATGCCAACTTTGGGCTGGCCCAATGCTACGGCGATCTCTCCATTGTGGACTGTGTCCTTTGCAATGCCGCGGCCCGAACACTCCTACCGCAGTGTTACCCGTATAACGGTGGGCGGGTTTATCTCGACGGGTGCTTCACGAGGTCCGAGAATTACACGTTCTTCGAGGACTATACCGGGCCGGGAGATCGGGCCATATGTGGGAACACGAACTCGACTCGGCAGGGCGGCCCAACATTCTGGGCTTCGGCCCGGCAAGCCGTGGCCCAAGCGGTCTCGGCTGCGCCGGGTGAGAATGGGTTCGCGCGGGCCCGGGTAAGAGTGTCGGAGTCGAGGAACGGTTCAGTTTATGTGCTGGCGAACTGCTGGAGGACGATAGGGGAACGGGCCTGTCGGGCCTGCTTGGCGAGCGCGGCCCAGTCGGTTTTAGGGTGTTTGCCTTCGTCTGAGGGCCGGGCCTTAAACACGGG